GGAGGTAGCTGGGGTGCATTGAGGAAGGTAAGTACCTAATGAAAGAAAACACTAAGAATGTCTACAGTGACTTCCTATACTGAAACAGCTAATTGCAGGGGTCTGACAGAACGGAGCTGAGGATATCTGCATTTATATGGATCGGTCACTCCCTATCATCATCACTAGTTTAAAGTATTTGAATACACCAGGAGCGGCAAGCCAAGAGTCACAAATTCTTTTAATAGTTTTTTTTTTTTTTTAACAACAAAACAACACAATTTGGGGGCCACAACCCCCAAGGCCTACAAAAAGTACAATTAGTCCTATATTTAAAAATATAGAAACTTTATATAAGGGATACATAAAAATATTGTGAATTTAAAATATACAGAACAGATATGAATGAAAAACAAAACAATGTAATTAAATCAAACATAATAAAAATACAAAATTCAGTAAACATGGAGAAGTGCTGTGTACTGGGTGGTTGCTGGTAGAGCTCTGTACTTGTGCGTTACCCACTCCTGAGCCCTATAAAATACCACCCCGGTACAATATTCACTCCTGAGCCCTGCACAATATATAGTCCAGAGCCTATATATGCACTGCTAAGTCCTGTACATTCTCCTGAGCCCTGCACTTTGCACTATATGCATTTCCCACTGATATTTTTGTTCTTAGTAACAACATTGACACAAGGGTATTTCTTCATGCCAGTGACACCCCTGACACAGGGACACATTTTTCCTTTCAGTGACACCACAAATGCAGGGACATTTTTTTTTTACCCACTGACAGTGATGCAGTGCTACCAACACAGGGTTCATTTTTCCTTTCAGTGACACCACAGATGCAGAGACAATTTTTCCTTCCAGTGAATCCACAGATGTAGGGACATTTTTCCTCCCAGTGACACTTCAGATGCAAGGACATTTTTTTCCTTTCAGTGACACCATCAACACCGAGACATTTCATTTACGCACAGGGACATTTATGCCTTTTTACTTATCCCATTTTTGTGTATCAATTTTAAACTCTTCAATTTGCTGCAGTGTACCACAAACATTGGTACTAGATCATCACATGCCACAAATGGGTCTATTGGCTCCACCCCATTCTTCATCCAGCAGGAAAGGGGAGAAGCAGTTTTCCATATTTGCTCAGGGCAGTGGGTGACCTTGTCCTGGCACTGCTAAAAAGGAACAAAAAACAGTCTGTATTTATGAAAAAGCAAAGGACAGACAAAATATAAACCATTTTGCAGAGCTGTAGGATGCTCAACTAAATTTAACTGTATTCAGACACCTTAGGATTTCAAAATAAGCAGAGGTTTAGCCAGTGTCAGTGGCAATGTGCTGAGAGTGCTGTTATCATCTGTGTATAGTTTAAAATGGGTAATGGGTGCCAGGAAGGTAGGAGATACAAAGAAACAAGCTGAAGTGGAGGAGTGATGTGCATGGATGTGATTGAAAGTGACACAATGAGAAGTGCCAATCTGAAAGGGAGCATAAGCAAAGACTTGTGGGTGGATCTAATTAACACTGACCTATTGCTTGTGTGCAGAGCCAGATATATCATTAGTGTGCGTGATGCTCTGCAGAAAATACTGTACATGAAGACAATCATCAGATTGCATTTATGACCGTTATTACCAAATATTGGAAAGATGAAGGGAGAGATCAAGAGACCCTAAAAAAAGTGAAAACAAAAATTGGAACAATCTATTGATGAAAACGTGAGCAGATTAAAGATGGCCATACGCTGGTACAACTTTGTACAAAAATGGTTGTTTTGTAAATATTTGTTTTCTTTTCAATTCTTTTTTATTATTTTTCAGAAAAAGGTTACATTTCACAGAGATAGGTCCAGACAGAGAATATACAAAACCAGTAGGCATAACACGTCTTAGCACCACAATGTCACTACGCTCACAGGTCTGGTGGAACCTTGGAATAATGGCCCATGGCCTACAGTTGCATACATACTGTAATAGATTACTTCTAACTTGTCAGTACCTGTAATCAACATTTGAGTTGACCTTTAAGGCCTAATATTCGTTCTATTTTCTAATTGTTAATGGGAATAAATCTATGTCTGTTTACAACTGAACGAACAAGAAAATTTGAAGGCTCAGGATGGAAAAAAAAAAAATAAAAAAATTATGGTAGCTTCAGTTTTTATTTTGCATGATTTTTGCACAACTGTTAGTCAAAACTATATTTTCAGTTAAGAATACTATAAAATTAATTTTATCACACACTATAAGCACAATTGAATTACACAATTTTTGTTGTACAAAATAAAAGATGAGGTAGTAAATAGATACCAGATGTGTGTTTGTATCTGTAAAATAGTGAAAAATTATAGATATGTGGTGCGGCAATAGATAACGTGTGGTGCAATTACTGTTTGCATACCCATGTACAGGTTTACATTTATTGGTGTGCGTAGGGCAACAGGGCTGCTAAAAAAATAAAATTATATATAATATATATATATATATATATATTTATTATAAAATATGTATTTTTTTTTTTTTTTTTTTTTAAATTGATTTTACTATAATGGGGTTTTTTTTTTACATTTTTATATTTTTGTTAAGATTACATTTATTGTTATTACAATGTAACTAACAGTGTGAAAGCACTGGGCATTCGGACAGGCCCTCTTTATGGAGACATTAGGGGTCTATCAGCCCCTAATATCTCTCCGCTACAGATATTCAAGCACATATTGTGCTAGAACAGCCAGGAAATTACAGCTATGAAGCTGGATGCACTTTGAGCTGAGCTCTTGACAGTTTCATACACGGCAGAGATGATTAAGAAACAGATGTTTCCTGAACTCCTGCTGCTTGCTGTCCTGTTGTGATCCCAGGCTCCCAGAGTGAGCCCAGGAACCCAGAAAGGGGGGATCCCTGTAAGCACTGTAAAAGTAATCACTTTTGCATTACAGCTGGGGGTTGGCAGAACAACAGTAACAAACTCACGACTGCAATTTGTTTAACCTTTTTAGACTCTGGACATACATAGTACTTCTAGAACTAGGCAAAGTGGTAAAAAATCTGTTAGATTTCTATGACAATCAAAGTAGTTGCCGTCAAATGAAAATTCCTTGAGTCAACGATGGGCACATTGATTGTTCTGTTGAACAACCTTTCACTAACTGTTTTTCGAAAATCTAACAGTGTGTTTCCAACTTAAAGTAGTAATAAAGCCTCAGTGTTTTTTAGTTTAACACACTGAGCACATCAATATATACTGTCCCCAGTAAAATATTTGTTAAAGGATAAATTCACCTTTTGACCAAAAATAATAAATGCACTTTTTTTTGCAGGTAAAAAAAAAAATAAAAAAATGTGCATTTAATATTTTCAGTTGCAGGAGACTGTAAAGCATTGCACCAGCGATCAGCAGATGGCTAATACCATGCAGGTCTCCTGCAGACCTGTCAGTATATCTACTAACTAGCCCACACAGATATACTGGCAGGAAAATTCAATGAATTACCAAGCCAATTCAGTTCATTGAGAACTACAAGCCAACAGTCACTAAGACTGTCAGGACTTGTAGTTCATTCATTCACAGAAACCCTGCACAAACTCACTGTTTTTAAAAAGTGGCAGCTAGTACAGGGAACTTCTCCCTGTTCTTCTGTCACAGGGAGGGGGGCAAGCGGACAGCGACAGCAGCACTGGGAACATGTTACATGTTCCATCCGTTTTTAGGGTGGAACATGTAGCATGTTCCCAACGGTGAACTTATCCTTTAACATTCTTACTCCAGCATTTTCAGTTTACTACTTTCAATGCTGCTGGGTCCTGCTCTCTCAGCGCTGCTTCCTCAAACTTTTGAAAAAGTTAACAGTGAGCACTGTCTCCAGTCAGCCTGTTAGCTTGGAAAAAGGAAGCAGGAGAAGGAGGGAGGAGCAGGGGAGTGGGCATCTATTAATGCACGCAATGTAGGGAGACGCAACTTTAGTCCTGCATGTAAGGGTGGCTCCACAAGCTGTTGAGAGAAAGGATCCACCCTGAAAAAAGGAAACCTGGGGCAGTGCTAATGGTTTGAAATGGAACATAAGCAAGGACTGAAAAAAGAAGAAGCTGCTTACTTACTCAGTATGTAATTAGGTAAGTGTACCTTTGAAATAAATAAATGCACATATTTTTGCAGATAAAAATAATAGACAAAAAAGTAAAAATACTACTACAGTGCTTTGTATAAAATCATATGAATGAGTTGTGACATTGGGTGAAATTGTAAGCACTGCATAATTGTACATATGGTACACATACATAAAATTGAGTGTATATATTGAAAATAATGCGAGAATCTTAAGTGATATGGAAAAGGATGTCGTCGACCTTACGTTGGTAAGATTGACCTATTTTAGCATCACATGGCGTAAGGTCAGATATATAGATAATACAAAAACACTAAATGATGCAAAGAAAAAAGAAAAGGGGGGGGGGGAATGGCAAGTGAGCAATAGTTTTGGACAGTGTTACTATATGCTAGGTAAAAGTAATGAACTGAGGTGGGGCTTCTGTGACTGCTTCTATTATAACCGCTACTAATCTATAGAAATCCTTGTTATGGTTCATAAGAAAATGAATAGTCATTCACCCCCAATCTAATATTGGATCCATGTTTGTTCAGTCTTTGTCCCGGCATATTGCGGGGGGGGGGGGGGGGGGGGCAGACCCCCTGCAAAACACAGTAACTCAGTGGGGACATCGCAGTATTAACAATGGATCGTTAGTACAGCGAGCACCTCGCAAGCTCTTCATTTCAACCTTGACAACTTCTCCTTAGAAAAAATGAAAAGGTAAGTAATATTTATTTTTTTTGGAATGCTGTGTGGATTGGAACACATAACATATAGTGAGGTTTTCTCAAATTTGACTGCAAAAGTGCAAATATGCTAATATGCTTTAAGTAATGTCACTCTTTCTGCTAGTTGTCCTTTAAACTATATCAGAAACCTAAAAGAGAATGATCGCCAAGAATGCATACTTGTCAGCTTTTGTCCACCTGCTGAATGTTTGTTTTCTGACTCTTCTGATGTTTACGCTCAAGGAAGCGTGCTCTTGCATCAGATATGGACTGGTCATCATTTCTCTTCTGCATTTTTTTCAATGAGGCCTCAAAATCATCTGAAATAGATACCATTAACACTCGCAACACTGGACAAATGGAGGGAAAGAAAATGTGGTTTTACTGCAGGCAAACAAAATCTATCTATATTGGTTGTTTTTTTTTTTTTTTTAAAGGAAAACCCAAATTTAAATGCACATCCATCCCACAGCCATAAGCCATCGCAAATGTTTATTGCTTTTGGTAGAATCTTCTTTGCACTGGCAGCACCTGCGCAATAAATCCCTACATACTTGAAGACCCTGCACTGCCTGTATGATGTAAAGAGTGCAGCAGGCAGGGACTACAAGATTCAGGTAAGAATACTGGAGGAGAGAAGGTGAGGGTGGTTTACTTTAGGTCTGGGTGGGTAAGCAGGTAGGGTAAAATTATGTGAAAACAAACCCACTGGTGACTGTTTTCACATCACTAATGCAGGCAACACAAAGACTGATTTAATATGAGTTGCTTTCAAGTGTACACACTGTGGTTAATTTACTAAAACTAAAGAGTGCAACATCTGGTGCAACTCTGCAAAGAAACCAATCAGCTTCCAGGTTTTTTTGTCAAAGCTTAGTTGAACAAGTTGAATTTAGAAGCTGATCGGCTACCATGCACAGCTGTACCAAATTTTGCACTCTCCAGTTTTAGTAAATCAACACCACTGTAATGTGTTCCAATGATTACTCCTAAGTGTCATGAGACCTCTATCTAAAACAAAACCACACATGTCCAGTAAAAGCAATCAAGCAGCCCACCTCTACATTAAATCTGGGAGTTGGTTGTACTACAAAAACAAGTTTACAGCTACTGCTGTGGCCTTAATCTGGCTTAGCCACTTGAAATTATGGACATACCAGACATGTCCAAAGAGCACACAGCCATAACATATTCCTTTACCTTGGGGAGAAAATGGGATGTAAGCCATGGTATGCAGAAACACTTCTGCCATCAGCACTTGTGAGACAGTGCTGGCATTTTGATACCCACAGTAATTTTATACACTATGAAGTATTTGATAGATATGCTTTACTCAAGCACAGATGCCAAGCACCCAAGACAGCTGATAACCACTGCAGACAGCAACTTTCGGTATACATTGTTACATTTTTATTATTTACAGTGTACCAAGTAATGCAATAAACAGCTGGTGTGTAAATATCTTGCATGCACTGCTAGCAGTTATGTACAGGAGCTGATGAGAAAAGATATAGGCAGAAGTGGCAGTAAATTTTTGTGGCATGTGGGATGTTTTGGGTCTGCATTAGTTTTAGAAGGCAATTTGTGGATGCACCTTTAATGAAAATGGCAGGGAACAAGAATCTGCATGGTGCTGAACAGGCTCATCTAAATGCATATACAGTACCTGTACCTTCAGTTAAATAATCATTTAGTTATTCCCTCCTGCCATTTCTTTAAATAAAGTAGCTGATACTATACACAGCGTTTACAATATGAAAAAGTGCAGCGCTTATAAACAAATTAAATTTGCTATATCAGAGTCTGGCCACACCCTCAAACAGAGAGTATAAAGTTCATAGGAGCAATGTCCGGTAAAAGACAAATGGATGAAATGGTGACTTAGTTACTCCCAAGGAGGCACTCGTTAAAACCGTGTAGGAAATGTAAGAAATGCGCACTCACCAGATGCGCATTAGATAAGCGCAATATTAATAACCAGAGGTCCCCTCTTATCCTGTGGAAGGTGCAGCTCACGCTGGACAGGCTATCCCACAATACTGGCGCCTCGAGGGATCTTCTCTACTGGTGGAAGCTGCGTGTATGGCTCCTCCTTAACACGTTTCGCACACAAAGTGCATCCTTACACCTTCTGAGGATGCACTTTGTGTGCGAAACGTGTTAAGGAGGAGCCATACATGCCTGAGACGTCACGCCACCGGATCAAGGAGGTCTGGTGGCCCCCATAACTATCCAGCTGGTCAGTTTTTCAAACGGTTCATGAACGGTTTTGCTGCATGCTTTGTCTACTTTTCCTTGGCGATAGCCTCCATTTGCTTTTATGTATGTTCATCACTTTTAACCAGTAATAAAAGAATTTATATTTTGACCTACTACACTATGGCCACTATTCTCTGCACCACATCGAGCATTTAACCCCCCAGGACCATATGGTGACCACCCTGAGGCCCAGAGGAGAGTGACTCATTTGAGCTGACCCCCATCGCAGCTTCCACCAGTAGAGAAGATCCCTAGAGGCGCTAGTATTGTGGGACAGCCTGTCCAGCGTGAGCTGCACCTTCCACATGATAAGAGGGGACCTCTGGTTATTAATATTGCGCTTATCTAATGCGCATCTGGTGAGTGCGCATTTCTTATATTTCCTACACGGTTTTAACGAGTGCCTCATTGGGAGTAACCAAGTCACCATTTCATCCATTTGTCTTTAACCGGACATTGCTCCTATGGACTTTATACTGTCTGTTTGAGGGTGTGGCCAGACTCTGATATAGCACATTTAATTTGTTTATGAGCGCTGCACTTTTTCATATTGTATATGTTCGAGAGGTTATATGGTTTCCTTGTAGTGTATCAGCAGCTTATGTTATCATCTTAGCGCTCGCTGAATCATCTTTATATCCTATACACAGTGTTTGGCTGCAGTACAGAAATCAATAGTGAGCAATCAGGCTTCCTCATAATAGGTTTCATTCTCCTGAGGTATCTCAAAAGAATAGTATTTGTACTGTATACATTAGTCATATTTTTCTTGTTAAGTTTCCAATTTCTACTAAACCAGGGCTCCCCAAAACTTCCAACACATCAGATTGTTTGTTGACCCTAAATACTATTTAACAATCAAAGTTTATATTGAAGGTTTCATGGCATGAGATTGGCTTGGAGCTCTACAGAGACCTCATTAGATTAACTGGCCTTAATCAGCCTTCTATCATTTAGTACCTGCTGACCCCCTGACATGTTATGAACCCGTTGAATAATCCCATCATTCCTTCAGGGTCAATTTTGACGATTTTGGGGAACCCTGCACTAAAAACAATGACATCAGGATTCAGAAAGTTTGTTGTGGTCAACACAGCCACTTCCTTCAGACATTTTAAAAAGACAAAAAGGCCCATCAAGTTGCGAACAAGGACCCAAAAACATAAGGAAAGTAGTATACAAGACTTGGATCATCAATTGCTGTTCTAAATTTATAAGAGTGTGTTAAATTATGAAGGGAGTTTACCATAACGTTGCCGTGCTTTTTCTCTAGCATTCCATTTAGCCAGTTCCTCTTCAGTCACTTCTTCTCTGGCCACGTTGCTCAATTCATACGCATCAATATCATGCAATTTTGGAAGCAAGTCTTTAACCCATTCATAGTGGATAGGACACACAGTCCTGACAAATATCTTAGACGTCACCAAAACACTATGGAACAAAATCCACTCTAAGTTGGTTTCCTGGCCAAACAACTGAAATATAAAATGGTAAATTTTATTTATGAATTCACATAAGAAATCACGATAGGCAATGGTTGGCACACGTATGTGCAAACAAGCTTCAACCAAAAAACGTTACTATATTGTTCTTTTTCTTGTCATAATCCCACAGATGTCACTAGAAGACTTCTATAGCAATAACAATATAATTTGTGTAAGTAGTAGTGTCTGCACTTCCTTGCACTTGCAAAATGTCAAGGCACTCTGCCAAACCAAATTACGATTCAGAAAAAATACTTAAAGTGGCCCTAGCAGTAATTTTACAGTTTTGCTTGAATACTTTTTTGAGCAAGAGAATTAAAAGTATCATTTTTCAAAAGACTGTACCTTTTTTCATTAAAAGCAGTCTTTCATCTGCAGTCATAAATGTGCCCAGGTTCAATTTTTTAGGTCTGCTTAAGCAGAGCATTCTAGAAAAATGTTAATACTCTCTAATATTTACTTACATCATCTGTCTGCTACAGTCAGGAGGAAGTATTTTCTAGTTCTATGTCCAAACCATTCCACCTTGACGATTTTGTTCAGTGTAGTTTTCTGGCAGGTAACTGAGATATACAGGTGAAACTCAAAAAATTAGAATATCGTGCAAAAGTTCATTTATTTCAGTAATGCAACTTAAAAGGTGAAACTAATATATGAGATAGACTCATTACATGCAAAGCAAGATAGTTCAAGTCGCGATTTGTCATAATTGTAATGATTATGGCTTACAGCTCATGAAAACCCCAAATCCACAATCTCAGAAAATTAGAATATTGTGAAAAGGTGCAATATTCTCGGCTCAAAGTGTCGCACTCTAATCAGCTAATTAAGCCATAACAACTGCAAAGGGTTCCTGAGCCTTTAAATGGTCTCTCAGTCTGGTTCAGTAGGAATCACAATCATGGGAAAGACTGCTGACCTGACAGTTGTGCAGAAATCCATCACTGACACCCTCCATAAGGAGGGAAAGCCTCAAAAGGTAATTTCAAAAGAAGTTGGATGTTCCCAAAGTGTTGTATCAAAGCATATTAATAGAAAGTTATGTGGAAGGGAAAAGTGTGGAAGAAAAAGGTGCACAAGCAGTAGGGATGACCGCAGCCTGGAGAGGATTGTCAGGGAAAGGCCATTCAAAAGTGTTGGGGACTTTCACAAGGAGTGGACTGAGGCTGGAGTCAGTGCATCAAGAGCCACGATACACAGATGGATCCTGGACATGGGCTTCAAATGTTGTATTCCTCGTGTCAAGCCGCTCCTGAACAACAAACACCGTCAGAAGCGTCTTACCTGGGCTAAAGAAAAACAGACCTGGTCTGTTTGCTCAGTGGTCCAAAGTCCTCTTTTCTGATGAGAACAACTTTTGCATCTCATTTGGAACACCAAGGACCCAGAGTATGGAAGAAGAATGGAGAGGCACACACTGCAAGATGCTTGAAGTCCAGTGTGAAGTTTCCACAGTCTGTGTTGATTTGGGGAGCCATGTCATCTGCTGGTGTTGGTCCACTGTGCTTCATTAAGTCCAGGGTCAACGCAGCCATCTACCAGGAGATTTTGGAGCACTTCATCCTTCCTTCTGCAGACAAGCTTTATGGGGATGCGGACTTCATTTTCCAGCAGGACTTGGCACCTGCCCACACTGCCAAAAGCACCAAAACCTAGTTCGAAGACCGTGGGATTACTGTGCTTGATTTGCCAGCAAACTCGCCTGACCTGAACCCCATAGAGAATCTATGGGGCATTGCCAAGAGAAAGATGAGAGACATGAGACCGAACAATGCAGAAGAGCTGAAGGCCGCTATTGAAGCATCCTGGTCTTCCATAACACTCCTCAGTGCCACAGGCTGATAGCTTCCATGCCAAGCTGTATTGAGGCAGTAATTGCTGCAAAAGGGGCCCAAAACAAGTACGGGGTACATATGCATGCTTATACTTTTCAGAGGTCCGATATTGTTCTATGAACAATTCTTGTTTTATTGATTGCATGTAATATTCTAATTTTCTGAGATTGTGGATTTGGGGTTTTCATGAGCTGTAAGCCATAATCATCACAATTATGACAAATCACGGCTTGAACTATCTTGCTTTGCATGTAATGAGTCTATCTCATATATTAGTTTCACCTTTTAAGTTGCATTACTGAAATAAATGAACTTTTGCACGATATTCTAATTTTTCGAGTTTCACCTGTATACACAATGCCAAGAATAAAAGGCAGTTTTAAAGTCATAGTAATTTACATGATGGTCTCATCTTTGCACCTGAACAAAGATGGTGATGGTGATGATGAAGAGTAAAGATAAAACAATGGCTGGGAGAATAATGTGATATTTTTGAGAGCTAATAGTTTGCATGTTCACATTACTCCCATGGAAAATTAAAATTTTTTGACTTACCAGTAAAATTTGTTTATTGGGAGTACAGGAGATCAGTAAAAGACACAAGATCTTTAGTCTTTAACCATGGGGTTATTACAGGTGAAACTCGAAAAATTAGAATATCGTGCAAAAGTTCATTTATTTCAGTAATGCAACTTAAAAGGTGAAACTAATATATGAGATAGACTCATTACATGCAAAGCAAGATAGTTCAAGCCATGATTTGTCTGTGGCTCTGCTGAGGTGTTATGGAAGATCAGGATGCTTTAAATAGCAGCCTTCAGCTCTTCTGCATTGTTCGGTCTCATGTCTCTCATCTTTCTATTGGCAATGCCCCATAGATTCTCTATGGGGTTCTGGTCAGGCAAGTTTGCTTGCCAATCAAGCACAGTAATCCCATGGTCACTGAACCAGGTTCTGGTGCTTTTGGCAGTGTGGGCAGGTGCCAAGTCCTGCTGGAAAATGAAGTCAGCATCCCCATAAAGCTCGTCTGCGGAAGGAAGCATGAAGTGCTCCAAAATCTCCTGGTAGACGGCTGCGTTGACCCTGGACTTAATGAAGCACTGTGGACCAACACTAGCAGATGACATGGCTCCTAAAATCAACACAGACTGTGAAAATTTCACACTGGACTTCAAGCATCTTGCAGTGTGTGCCTCTCCATTCTGCCTCCATACTCTGGGTCCTTGGTTTCCAAATGAGATGCAAAAGTTGCTCTCATCAGAAAAGAGGACTTTGGACCACTGAGCAACAGACCAGGTCTGTTTTTCTTTAGCCCAGGTAAGACGCTTCTGACGTTGTTTGTTGTTCAGGAGCGGCTTGACAAGAGGAATACGACATTTGAAGCCCATGTCCAGGATCCGTCTGTGTGTGGTCGCTCTTGATGCACTGACTCCAGCCTCAGTCCACTCCTTGTGAAAGTCCCCAACACTTTTCAATGGCCTTTTCCTGACAATTCTCTCCAGGCTGTGGTCATCCCTGCTCAGGGGTGGACTGACCATTTGGAAATTCGGGCACTGCCTGAGGGCCCGGGGTCAGTAAGGGGCCCCATGAGATGCCCCTGGTACCTTTTTCATAGGCTTTTTTGAGTTTGGGCAAGGACACAGGGGTCCCATGATCCCCTATTGCCCGGGGGCCCCATGAGTGGTCAGTCCACCCCTGTCCCTGCTGCTTGTGCACCTTTTTCTTCCACACTTTTCCCTTCCACATAACTTTCTATTAATGTGCTTTGATACAGCACTTTGGGAACATCAAACTTCTTTTGCAATTACCTTTTGAGGCTTTTCCTCCTAATGGAGGGTGTCAATGATTGTTTTCTGCACAACTGTCAGGTCAGCAATCTTTCCCATGATTGTGATTCCTACTGAACCAGACTGAGAGACCATTTAAAAGCTCAGGAACCCTTTGCAGGTTTTATGGCTTAATTAGCTGATTAGAGTGGGACACTTTGAGCCTAGAATATTGCACCTTTTCACAATATTCTAATTTTCTGAGATAGTGGATTTAGGGTTTTCATGAGCTGTAAGCCATAATCATCACAATTATGACAAATCACGGCTTGAACTATCTTGCTTTGCATGTAATGAGTCTCTCATATATATTAGTTTCACCTTTTAAGTTGCATTACTGAAATAAATGAACTTTTGCATGATATTCTAATTTTTTGAGTTTCACCTGTATGTAGCTCCCTAAACATGTTTGGACACAGGTTAAAAAAAAAAAAAAACAACAAACAAACAAAATAAAAAACTGCAGGAACCTCTACTAAATAACCCCTACCAGCTAGGTTCAGTTTTGTAGCAAGCAATAAGGAGATCATAAAGAACAAAAGGGAAGGCCCCATGTCCTGTACATTACACCCAGAAATTGAATTTTGCTATTAAGTCAACAATTCTATTCCCTAGTCCTGCATTACAGGGGGGACAGAATGTTGAGTCTTTAACCATGGGAAATCCAACAACAGTCCAATTGCGAGGTGGGCAACAAAGAAAACAAATGCCAACAGGCCTACCTAACAAATGGGTCAAGAAGGACTTGCCATTTTTGGGAGTAAGGTGCTACAAGCTGCTCTGAATCTGTCATCAGAAGAGGCTTGAAAATCCATTTTGGTAAAACTTAAAAGTAGTTACTGTCTGGACATTTTTGTATGCAGACCGATAGCAAAGTATATTATTATTAATTTGTTTTAAACCTTTTTTCCCCCCATTTCTACAGTTTTTCCAATTTCTGGCCTATGTCAAAATTATGTCATACATCCCAAGGCATTTATTTTTCATCTGGTGGGGGGCAAGGGTCTTCTCAGCTAAGCACACCCCCCTACCTGCATTCCTGGCCTAAGGGCAGCTGGATTCCAGGAAGTAAATGCTACATGAATCATCTACTCTTACTCAAGATGGCCAAGGCCAGAAATTCTAAGGAGGTGTTTCTCAAAGAGATTTCTCAACAAAATAAAGCATGAGACATGGGTGAATAGGAGAGTTTGCTTTGAATAATCAATATGAATTACAAAGCACTTTGATTTGTGGTTCTCTGATACAATTTAGGTTCTCTTTAAACATGTGAGCAGAAGGCCAAGTGGCACCCTTGAAACAGATGCTAAAAAGCCTATGCAACACTAAC